ATCAGCACCATCACCATCATCATCACCGTGATCATCATCAACATCATCATCATCATGATCATCATCATCATCACCGTCATCTTAAATCACCATGTTCAACTTCACAACCATAGCCATAACCATAATCATAATCAGAATAAAACAGTCGTCATCGCCATCATCATAATCGTCATCATCATGATGCTCATCATCAATATAAACACAACTGTGGTGATAAAATGAACCGTCATCATCGTCATCATCACCATTACCGTATAAGATTAACGACGACAGAATATGAATCCAAATAGCAATAATCACACCATCATCATCATCATCAACAACATCATCATCATCATAATCATCGTTTATTGTTATACTTTATTTGATTACTGTTATTATGATTCTCGTTGTTGCTCTTCTTTCTACTATGAATAATCAGCATTATTCCTACTCTCAATATCATGAGACTGACAACAATAGCAATCAGGATAAGAAGACTGGTCATACAAAATAGAAGAACCGCAACAGCAATGATGACTAAGTTACTTAATTAGGTAGCTCATGAATTAACAAAACTGATTAATTTACTGGTTGGTCAAATGATTAGTTCGTTAGCTAGTTAAAAAGTCAGCCAGTCAGTTAGTTAGTCAGTCAGCCAGTTCGTTTGATTCTTTGTTTGCTAAAGCACTAAGTTGACTAAGGTCAATGATTCATAATAATCAGATGTCATAGATGTTAAACACAACAATACTGAAATCCGTCTAGCTCACAGATCACCTATTGCAAAGCCAATGCTCAGCTTGGGACCGCCGGAGCCGGTGGAAAGCCTGGCATCAAGGCACGAAAGTCCGATTGACGGTGACTCCGAAAGCCACCCTCAGAACTTCTACCACGCCGGCAACTATGTCGAGGGTGTCTGCGTCGTCAAGGGTTATAGTAGCCTTGAGTTGCTGTGTGGTGGAGGCTTTGAACCCGTTGGAGCCTACCAGAAGGATTCAGGTGGATGGAAGTTTGCTGAACTCGTTCATGACAATGCTCATGATTCTAGGTCTCGTGGTCACCACGACGTGGTGGCCTATGAGGGGGCGAAGTGGCTTGCGATAGAGATATTTCGAGAACGGGGCTCCTCGCGAAGGCGATCCAGAATGAGCTGGAACGTCGCGGTCAAAGAGAGGAAAGGGCGCTAGTTCGCGAGGCAGTGAGTACTACGAGGACCTCGATCTACGAGCAGACGAGCTCCACCAGGACCCCGTTTCACGAACCGGCGGCCATAGTGATTTTTGGAGTTTAGGGTTTAAGGTTTAGGATCTAATATGGTAAAACCACGCAGTCGACTGTCTCGCGGGAGCTCAACTTCTTTGGTGGAGATTCAGAAACTCGGGCTTTAGAGCTCAACTCCTTGACCTCTACATTCCACATCTTCCAGCTGAGGCTTCCGTGCAGTCAGGCCTCCAACAGCCCAAAATCTACCCTCAAGCCTATTCCCTAAGCTCAAAACATCAATTTGAAACCCTGAAACTCTACAAATCTCCTGAAAACACGGGGCTCAGCGCCGCACTCTCGAAACCGCTGTCTGCCTTGCCTCCGAACTGGGACAGCAACCTCGGGGCAACGTTGTTTCATCATGTTTTGAGGGTTTAGGGGAGGTTACTGTAGGCGCATTAAGCTTTTAGGGGGCGGCTTTCGGGCTCTGGGGTTAGGGGGGCTTCGGATTTGCAGCGTAGGGCTTTCGGGCTCCACAGCCTCAAGGCAGGTTCTGGGCCCGGCACACCTTCGAGTACTGCACGCCATCGGCGACTAAGGTCGGATAGTCCATCCAGAACTCCAGGTGGGGGATCAGCTGCAGACCTGTTTGGGTTTAGGTTGGACCTTCCCAGTCCAGGGGCGTTCCATATCCTGTCATGGTTGAGGCCATGGGACTTGGGACTTCTTGGATTCGGGCCGGACGCTGTTTCCCTGCTTTTCACCGTCTGTGAGCTCGCGCGGCGGCGCTTGTTGCGTCAGGGGCTGGACTCTCCGAAGACCCGAAGGCCGCATGCGAAAAGTCGCACCTCCGAGTCCAGATCCCAGGTCCCATGGACGTACTGCCCCAGCTCCCACGAATCCCTAGGTGATTCAGTGATGGATGACCCTGAACCCTAAAGTCTTCGGACGAAGGCGACATACAAATGCGTTCTCGGGCTGCATGTCGCCACGAGTACAGGAAACGAGGGCTCCCGATAGAGGCGTCATTCTTGCAACCCCCAGTAGCCCTTAGTGTAGGGTTGGTAGCCTTTTGGCAGCCCTTGCACATACCCTTATTTTGGCAGCCCTTGTCCCAACCCTTCTCGGTCCGAAAGCTCCCTTACAGCGTGGGCACCTTGCGCGCCGTGCATCTGATACTTGTACAGGGCGCCGCAGACGAGGTAAATGAGGCCCAACTCGATGACCCCACGCAACCTCGGCATGGTCCAAGAAATTTCGGGATTGGGGCTGACGCTCTCGGAGAGAAACTAGAAGATACTCAAACACACCTCTGATGAACATCCTTTTACCCTAGTTTTAGCCTCAGTGCCAGCCCACTTGTTCCTCAGTAGCGCTGAATTAAGGGCTCCCTAAACCCTAAACCCTGAACTCCCCAAACCCTAAACCCGGGAACCTGAAGATCTTGAAGGGGAGCCTTTGCTTTCTTCGAATGCCTTAGACTCAGAGCGAGCTCCAACCCAGTCCAAAGCTTGCGCGTGAATCGGCATGCCCTCTTCTACTGGGCTCTTGCTTGGAGATGTCATTTACGCTACCATAAGGACCATAATAAAGAAACCATATTAATTACTTACTATAGATCCCTATAATGGTAACTCATACAAAAAATTCCCAAACAAGAACCCAGCCAAACGCACACAGGAAAGTTGAAAACCGACTCCCAAGGCCCCCAGAAGCGACGGAAAGCAGATCTTTCAGGGGCCGACAGACCCGTGGCCGCCCCGTAGTTCTCGATGTGCTCCACGTTCCAAACCTGCGTCCGGAGGGAGGGAACCGGGAGCTCGCTGAGATGCTCAGACGAGCCTCTTACAGTATGCCGGAATTGGGGTTCGGGGGTTTAGGGGTTTAGGGGTTTAGGGTTTAGGGGTTTAAGTTTAGGGGTTTAGGGGTTTAGGGGTTCAGGGTTTGGTGACTGGGACTTTGCGGGTTGCAGATCTTCTGAAGGAAGGGTGGTCCTCAACCACGGCCAACGTGGTGGGTCCTCATGGCAGTGGATGAGTCCTTCATAAAGGAACCACGTCGAATACTGCGCCCGCGGTGATCTTTACTCCGTAATGCTTTGAGGCCCTGACGCCTGAAAATGGTTTCAGCTTTCATCCGTCTCAGTTTCGGAAACGAGTTTTACACCTTGGGTTTAAGGCTTCGGGTGCAGATAACCTTCAGTCGAACCATGTTGAACTCCGCAATTAAGCCTTAACCGCTTAACCCCTGAACTGCAATACCAAAGCAGCCGAAAGTCCGAACCCTACACTCCAAACACTTCCGATCCTCAGATGCCTGCGATGCCACTGAGACCCCAGCGACGCTCTCGGCTTCGCGCTCCCAGCCGGACGGTCCGGCAACCACGTTGTTGCCAAAGAACTTCCTGAGACTGCTTCGGGTTTTGGGTTCAGGGTGCGTGGTGTTTCAAGTCTTGGCCTCAGAGCCCAAGCCAGGAAGACCCAAGGGCTACAATTGAGGGTGCCGCTTGGAACCACTAAGCCCGAGGCCATCACATGAAAGTCGAGACCCTAAAATACCCTGAACTCGTCAAACTCGAAGCCCGAACTCCAAACGGAACCCCAAAACCGAGGCTGCAACAGATCCGAAGAAACCTCGGAGACGAGCCCGGTCTTGGCGTTGCCTCGCTGGCGCTGTTGCTGGGTAGAGGGCTTTGGCCAGCGGTTCTGGGGGTTTCAGATTTGGGTTTACCAAAAATTTTGGGATGAAACTATCGGGCTTGGGCGCAACAGCGGAGGTTCAGGATGAAGCTTTCGGAACAATGCTGTTACGGCAGATCGGGTGCAGAGTTCAAGCTGAGCTCAATCGACCCTTTGCCCAAAACTTCCCCCGAACCCGGTCAACCCATGCACAGACTGAGACCCCGGCCCTGCTCTATGGCTTTCTTCACCATGCTGGTCTGAGGAACCGAGGTCGGAAAGCTCCCATCGGGGTTGCTGTCGAGGTTCTTGAAGTTTGCCGATCCAGAAGGACTGGTTTATATAGTTGAAAAGAAGGATCCGGGGCAATACCGCTATCCGCGATGCTTTGCGGAGGTGCGCTGCTTACTCGCGTACATCCACTCCAATACTTGTTTACATGTGTGAGGGCGTTTCCTGCAAGTCGAAGCCTCTAAAAACGGAGCCTGGGCCCAGCACCGAACCCCCTCTCAGGACCCAGGGCTCGTTTTACCGCAGCGCTTCCCATCCCTTGTGAGCCCCCGTCACAGCGGAAAGCTGCAAGAATCTGCACACATGCGTCTGACCAATCCTGCACAAAGAGGGTTGTTTAGCATTTCCAAAGTTTTGTGTCCGTTGATGCTCTTTGCTTCGTTCGTCTGGCACACTTTTGCCTCCGAAAAAACACCAGATATGCTCTGCCTCATCAAATTCAAGGACAACATAGTATTAACTACAATAAACTATAGATGCACCGATGATCCAGTGGCTGCGCGTCACCCTAACAGACTGAGAGCAAAATATTCCAGCAAGCACCTCATACACACCAACTTTTCGAAGCTCAGCAAGCCTTATCCGAACGAAGCACTCAAAAACAAGCCCGCCCCTGAACCTTTAAACTCGACCTCCAAAACCGCCCAAGACCCCTTCACTGTAAAACATTTGGGTTAGGGAAAGGAGGTCCCCAAAAGCTGAGTTCTCGGCAAGACCGGTCAAAGCTTGCTGCTCCCGCTCCTCGGTGCTCTGGAGGTTAGGGTAGATGTCGGGGCTCTGGGATTTAAAGGTTTAGGGTTGGGGTTCCGGGATTTCAAGGTTCAGGTTTTTGCGGTTCTGATTCTGGGATTTCGTGGTTTGCCGTTGATATAGAGGCCGACGCCTTGCTGCGTGCAATATGCAGCCGGATCCCTTCAGGGCAAACGACTGCCAACTCACAATCCAACGACGACATGCCAACTTCGGGATTCGGACTTGGGCGAGGAGCGAGACCTCTCGCTTTAATCATGGACTGGGACCGAACCCGAGGTGACCATATCAAGGCTCATCAACATTCCTCCCGCTACAACTATTGCCACCATGACCTCCACTAAACCTGACGACGAAAGCCAAGAACTCAAGAATGGAAAATCCAAAACCCTAAACCCTCAATCCTGAAACCCTACACTCTCAAAGCCTGACATGCTCAGCCTCAAAACAACGCGGGCGGCCGGGCTCCACGCAGCCAAGCCAAGAGGAAGCGATGCTGCTGCCAGCATCTCCTTGCAGATGGAGATGCATGGGTTTGTGTTTAGGGTTGAGCAATCAGGGTTGAACCTCAGGGCAGACATCTAAAGTCGAGGGTATGTTTAGACTGTAGGATTCAGAGTGTAGCAGTGTAGCATTTACGGACCAGGTTGGAAACCCCTCTTTGATAAGGATGCCCGACAGGATTCTTAGTGGCATGGCCTGCCGGTCGGAACGGGGGAGCCGGAGGGAAGAAAGAAAAGCGTTTCGGGTAATACGTTTCAGCTCAATCATGACTTGCAGTGATGACAACGTCGCAGTGGTAAAGCTTAAGAAAACGGACACAGAACAACAATCAGCCCGTCGCGACCAACATCAAGAACAGATGATGATGCTGATGATGGAGATGATGACGATGACGATGATGATGGTGATGATGATGATGATAATGATGATAATGATGATGACGATTACGGGTGAAACCCGCGATCATTTCAAACAAGAAAGGGGTGCAACCCTAAAAACGCCAAAACAATTAACCCGTGAACCCTACATCTAGTCGAAGGAGTGGCCTTGACAGTCAAAACATCAGCGTCGCCGTCAGATATCGCGTATCGCCTTCAGAGGAATGCAGAAGGTTCGTGGTAGGCTACAGTAGGTCTTTCATACTGGGATTCTGGACTTTCGGCCCAACAGGTAAGGCTGGAGGAGGAGCAGGAGGAGCAGGAGCAGGAGCAAGAGGAGTAAGAGGAGCAAGAGGAGTAAGAGCAGGAGAGCAGGAGCAGGAGCAGGAGCAGGAAAGCAGAAGCAGAACTAGGAGCAGGAGAAGGAGGAGCAGGGGGAGCAGCAGGAGCAGGAGCAGGAGGAGGAGGAGGAGGAGGACGGCACATGGAGCAGCAGTGGCAGCAACCGTGTCTGTTGCTGGAAAGTGAGGAGTCGTGTAAAGCATGCACACGACTACTTGAAGTAATAATTCCATTGGTCCTTCGAAACATATGTTCTGCCTTGACATTGAGCCCTGAACCCTCATTTCTGTTCCATGCATGCCGGACATGCTCTAGCATGCGCCGTCGGACTCCACCAGCACCAAGGGACACAACGCACCGAACACAAGCTTGCACCCGGAATCAGACCTCCCAGTCCCCTGCTAAACACGCAAAGCCCGAACGAGGAGTCTTCTACACAACCTTTATAGACTCGTCACATCACTGAAGCCCTCTTGCTCTTAAGCCCTGGGCCGCTTGAGGCTTTGCAGAGCGGAGTACGCCTTCGCGACCTGGAAGCCCTTGCTCCTGAGGCTCTCTGACGGTATAGAGGGTTCTTGCGCTCGATGGAAATTCTCAACAATCGCTACATGTAATTCGCTGCTGATTTCTGATGCTATGTTCCTACCCCTCTATCCTCCCTCTCCTGCTCCTCCTCCTACTTCTACCACTCCTACCCCTACTCCTAAACTCCCACTCAATACCACTCCACCAACATCAACACCACGACAAACAGATCACCTCTCGCCAAGGCCGTCACCCCGCTGGCGACCCAGAGGGAGCGCTGGGGAAGCCTGCAAATTGGTCTGGCGTTGAGCTGTTCCGGGCTGGGCGGTTGACGGGATGGCTGGAATTGGTGGGACGACGCCGTGAGTTTTTTGGCTTTGTTGAGGTCTTAGGGCCGCGAAAACTCGGCATCCAGATGGCCTCCGAATCTCCTCGGACCTGAAACCTTCGCGCGGACGGTTTTAAGAGGCTCATGGTTTAGGGTTTTGAATTTTTGGGTTTGAGGCCTCTTTGCTACCACATAAAACTTACCTGAAGCAGATCCAAGTCTCGCTGGGTTTCCGCTCGTTATGGGCCCTGAACTTCCCCGACGTGTTTTGTATATATCCCTTTCCCCAATTCAACCATTCGAACCCTCGAACGAACATGCAACCCCCTCGTGCTGGCTGGTAGAGTCACACTGAGACATAGCCACAAGACTTTGCACATCGTTCAGCAAGTAATCCAACCAATATCCCCTGATACTGGTGCAACCAAGTATGACATATTGTGGTACTACTGTGACCACTGTACTGCCGGCTGGGCGCCTATTGCCAGCTTCACCCGCGTGGACAAGCGGGCCTGGGGTTAGGTGGCCTAAGTTTTTGGGTTCTATGTACGGATCCTTGGGCTTCGAGCGTCAAGCTTTTGGGGTTCAGGAGCTACAGCATATTCGAATACAGTACCGGATGGACATAGGTGCGAAAGTAGTGCACAAGTAGCATGCATCAGCATGCACAAGTAACTAACCTCGAAGCTGCAGCCTAGCCAGTTTTATGTAACACACCGCCACAACCAGAATGCGACCGTAAGAGAAGCTACTGGAATACCGTATTAAATGGGTTCGGGGAGCTTTCGGGGCGGCTCGGTTTGAGGGTGGTTCAGTGGGTGTAGTGTGGGGTGTTATGTGAGACAGCTATGAACTCTTGGGATTAAGCGATCCGGCTGAAATCCTTCATATATAGAGCTTCTGGTGTGCTGCGCTTTGCTCTGATACAACACCCCAAAAATGTGCCTCGAGAGGGGGCTGGCGTACGTTTTCCGGGCCTGGGTCCGATTTACGACATTCAAATCGGAAGTCCCTCGATCAGCTCGACGATTGTCAATCTGTGCCCTGCGTTGCACCTTTGGCAAAGATGCCTTGCAGCAGGGCCCAAACAACTTCGCCACGTGGTTGTTTTGAAGAAAGCTTCAGCTCGGAAGGCGGTGCCAAAATCCGAACCATCAGCGAGAAGCTACCGCAGGTGAGCGCTGGCCGGGTGTTCGATGTAGAACGGGTTAGCCGAAAAGACAGCATAGGCAGGTCCCATGCATATCCGAAACATGCGGACCCGCCATAGCGGCAATCGCAGGCCGATTGATCGACAACTCGCGCGAGCAATGATCGGCGCCTCCGTGCCAACGAACGTTGCTGCCCATGGTGATACTCATCTGCACTTGAACACGGGGATAATGGATTCTCGGTGAGAACACCCCATATGCTGCTCCCGGCTGCATCCACAGCTGGACAACTACGCACACATCATGCAGCACCAGTGCTGGCGAAACATGGCACATGTCCACATTCTCGTGATTAGTCGGATCGTGCTGTGTCGTTGCCGCATCTACCCCGCTGTTTAAGGGCCCCTGGCAAAACAAATAAAAGAAGAAATATATGCTGAGACGCATGCAGAGGGCAAAGGGGAAGCGGCATGGGCGCATCTTTGCCCCTGGTTTGAAGCGAAGTCTTCCATGTCACGCATGGCACCGCACGAGGCGCACTAAAGGGGAACCTGACAAGAGCAGAGGACAAGCATTCACACACTGCGAGACGCAACAACAGGGGCACCGCGACGGCCCCGGCGATGAGTCTTGGCCTCTGGAGTTGGCGGCATCGGGTGCCCAGCCGTGGCTACAAGCATCACGCAAAACCCGATTTGCCGTTAAGCAACTTCAGACTCAACAACCACCCCACTCGCAGAACATGGCGTGTCGTGCCACGGGGGAAGAGCTGGAGCCTTCCTCAGCCGTGTCGGAGCAAGAAGCCCAGGGGGCAGCTTACACAGGAGTCGTCGTGGCGACGAATCCAAGCCAGTTCGTGCCATGTGCAGGAGTGCAGCATGGTCTCCCCACCACGCATCCTTCGTCAATCCACTCGTGAGGCAACTTGATCGACATGAATCGAAGGCACAATGCTCCTGGTATGTGGCTTGGGTCTTCAGCCCAGAACCCGCCTAGAGCGCTGTCTGGGAGCTTGGGCTTAAGGGCCGTGAGGGCTCGGGGCTTCAGGCCCTTAGGAAGGTGTAGAGATAAGTAGGGCCTTCGGTTAAGGCTTCGAGGTTGCCTCATCGGCTTAGATTCTAGAGTTCAGGGTTTGGGTTACGAACGATAAGCTTCTTTGAGCTGCGGCACCTCATCTGAAAATAGCAGGGCCCGCACCCAGTCTGCGAAGGACAGCGGATGGATGCACAAGCCAACGCCCTGCGTGCCCACCTGAGCCCGTGACCGAGTAAACCCCACAAAAGCTTTTCGAACTTCAAGCGCCGCCATCTTCAACCTAATTACCTGACTTTCGCTCTCAGAAGCCTGAAGGCCCACCTTGCGGCAGGATGCACCGCTCGGGCACTGCGCATCCGCCTGGAGCAAGAGCCCATCGACCCCGCAGAACTACCATGACGATTGCCACCTACTACAACTCATTTCGACTACCGTTGCTGCATTGTGTCTTCTACTTCTGATGACCTAATGATCCCTCTCCCTGGGGGTCCCCAGGGTGTTGGTACCATTGCTTTTCCCGAATGCTCAAACACAACGCTTCGGTCATCCGCTTCAGCACGGCGAGTTGAAGCTTGGGCACAGCAAGCTCAGCAATCTCCGGGCTCTTGGGCTGCTGCTGTTGCAGGGTCCTTCTCCTTGTGGACAATCGAAGCAGAATGCCCGGAAACAGTCGGAACTTCTTCCCTTCCCTCGGAGCTATCTTGGGGGACTGAACCTTGCCAGCCTCCTGGGCTCTGGAGCAGCCCCACATCCAAAAGAAAGGCGTAACACCCCGAATAGAGACTCTTCAGGATAGTGGGAAATTAAGGAGCCGAGGGAGCCCTGCATGGCCTGGCACAGGAGTCCGCAGTAGAAAGCCTGGCGCCGACATCCATCAGAGATCCCTCAGGACAATGTTGACGAAGTGATGAAGACGACGTTACCAGCTGAGGCAGGATGAAGATGATTATGAGGTTGCGAGTTTCGCTGTGGGGACTGCTGTGTCCGTTTTGGCGCTAGGGGCGTTGATAAGCACTTGTGCAGGGAATTTCTTCGCTGTGCTGCTTGGAGACTTGCAGCTGCAGATCGACCCAAAGACTTTGC